CCGCCCCTGGGTCTTGTTAAATATTTTCCTCTAGGTCTAGGGCCTAGGCTAGCTGGCCTAGGCCCGACTCGATTGACTCGTATTGCATTATGTCAGGCCACAGAAAGTTGAGTTGAGCAGCCAAATAACTAGGCCTAGGTGAAGGCATCAACATTGAAGTTAATATATAAATTAATCTTATTTAAAAATATAATATACATGCACTCAGTATTTTTTATAGTATTTTACACCATGTGCAGCAGCACAACTTTGATGTTATACACTGGCATTATAAATATAAGCCTATAGTAAATTAAATCAAGAATACATTTGAACTGATGGTTTTTAAAGTGCAATACTGTAAATTATTATTCCAAACTGCAATTGTTTTTAAATTTATGTTTTAACTTTGATGCCATATACTGGAATTATACAATAGGCCATAGTAAATGATTTTTAATGATGATTTTTAAACTGCAATTATTCTAATTATGTTGCTTTATTTTATTGTTTTTTTATAATTATCATCTCTGTTCAGATTTTTTAAAATATTATTTCACATTTTTTACCTTTTCTGCATCTCTATCTGTATTTTGATCAATTTTTTTAAATGTTTAATCTTGACCTTACAGTATGTCTTTATGGGTGCCTTCCATGTTTTGTTACCAAGGAAATAAAATTTAAATTTTACCTTCTTGTACTATTGGCAATATAATTACTGTACAGTACTTCGAACTTTATTTTGTGTGTGTGTGTGTAAAATGGATTATGTAGAAACAGCACTCAAATAAACGCCCACTGTTTCACTATTTAATGTGGAACTACAATACATACCGTAAATGCTTGAATAAGCGCCGCACTCGAATAAGCGCCGCGGCGTTTAACCGAGAGTATAATTAGCCTGTGTGTAATGAAACACTTTTAAAAACAGGATTTTAAATACAATGTATACAGTGTTAAAATTAATAAATAACACAGTCAAGGCACAAGCATTTCTTTATAAACGTTTATTTACGATGATGTAGGACCCATAGGCCTACTGATTATGGGAATAAGATTATGGGAATAAGCCTATGTGAATAAGCCTATGTGAATTAGGTAACGGGCATGGAAAGCGTCACGCCAATATTTTTTTATAAGCGCCGCACTGAAGCTATTACTGTATTACGGTACTGTATGCTCGAAATAGGCGTCGCTCTCGAATAAGCGCCGCACCAAACGTGTCTTTTTTTGCTAAGGGCCGCGGCGCTTATTCGAGTGAATATTGCTGTATGCAATGAAACACTTTAAGAAACAGTTAATAAATACAATGTTTACGGTGTTCAAATGAATAAATAACACAATGAAGACATACGCATATCTTATAAACGTTTATATAGGCCTACATACGCCTACCGAACTGCGGGAATTCGTAAGATAGGTAACATGGGAACGAGCATGGGAAGCGCCACGCCAATGTTGTTTTAATAAGCGCCGCTCTTGAATATGCGCCGCACTGAAGCCTCTGTTCAAACATTTACGGTACTGTACCGACAAAATGTGTTATTGCGTGATCATGAGTTAAGACTTAATGATCCCGACTAGTTGAAAATGTACGGTAATTCTACTGGAGTTGAACATTAAATGTGCTCAAAATGATGTTGCTTCCATTAGATTTGTTTACAGTCATTGGGGGAGGGGGAGGGGTTTATTCGAGGAAATGTTTTTATTTTATTAAATTTTTTTATGATTTTGGCACCTTTATATGGCTGGAAATGGCAC